CGCTCTGTCGCTTGCGGGGCTGAGAGAGAGAAAGGGGAGAAGAGAAGTGAGCTAGGGTTTTGGGAGCCGTTTTTGATCCGCCGAGACGCACGCGTGGCCGTCCGATCTGCATCAACGGCGCAGATCAACCGGGCCAGATTGAGCCCAGGCGGGAGCACGCAGCGGGTGACTTTGCCAGCCCAGGCCCAGGTTGTGGCCTGGGAGGCGCCGCGGGCGCGCGCGGAGGTATTTGGGCCGGGCCGTTTTGCCGGTTGGGCTCAAGTATAGTGTTCAGTTTGAATCCATTTTTTGTTTTTCTTTTTCCAGTAAATGTTTATCTCCTGGAAAATGATTAATGCTCAAGAAAATTAGCAAAAGAATTTTTCCTATGGGTAAAATTCATAAATTATGTTTAAGTTTCCGCTGTAAAGTTTAATGCTGATTATCTTCTAGTTAAATTCGAACCAACGGGAGAATTTAATTTGAAGAGCAGTTATATTTAGAAAATTATGATTATGTTGATTTTCTAATTAAATTAGAACCAACAGGAAAATTTAATTAGAGGAGTAGTCCGTTTTTTGTTTAAGTAAGATTATGGTATTGTCATTTTCTGACCAACGTTGATGATGACAATATTATAACAAATTTAAGTTTGAAGTTTAAATCTCTGAAAAATTTTACACCAACGTGGTGAATTTTTCAGAGAGTTGATAAGGACCAAGAAATGCTCCTAAACTAATAGAATGTATTTTGTTAACATGTTTCCACTGCGATGAAGTTGATTATCTTTTAATTAAATTCAAATCAACGGGATAATTTAATTTTGAAGAGTAGTTATATTGATTTTAAGTTAATTTCTAAGTTTTATGTATTAATTCTATTTTCTGCCCAACGGTGATGTAGAATTGATACAGAAGCACCTGTATGTTTTAATTTGACGAGATCACTCGGCTGCATGCCAACGGGCTGCAATGCTGGTGTATGTGAATGAAAAGACTTGAGTCAAGCCAGTTCAGGACAATTTTTGTTAGTTTATTAATTTTTTGATTAAATCGGAACCAACGTAAAGATTTAATTAGAAAATAAAGTATAAGTGAATGTTTTAGTCGTCATGACTAAGTTTTCGTATAGATGTATCCCGCATGGGGAGAAGTTTTGGCATAGTAATTATGCTAGTCCATCCAGCATGGCAGGAGAAGTTTTGTGATGACTCATATGGTTTTGTATCCCGCATAGCAAGAGAAGTTTAGGTAGCTCTTATGATATCCTAGTATTGACCATGGCACAATAGAAATGCATCGTCATGGTCAATACTGACCAAAGGATAAGAAAAAGATGCAAGCGTGACTTGTAAAAGTACTGCTAATGAAAGACCTCGTTGAGTTCATAAAGTGAATTAAGGAAAGTGTACTAAACAGATCAAGAAATAACTTTGTTTACATGACACAATCATGTGAATGAAGTAAGTTATAAGTGTCTCCTTATTTACAGGCTTTCTGAATAATTATCGAAATTATGACAGTAAAGTTCATGCCATATTTCGAGGAGGAGAATATAAAGATCAATTAAGAAAGATACTCTTTATTAAGAGTGAGATAAAGACCGTTGAAGGAGTACGACGGTTACAACAATAATACCCCTAAGCAGAGAAATAGCTAAATTCCTAGACCTTTTAAAGTTTCGACAGAAAAATAGCGTAGCCAGACTCAAAGATGTTAAGTGGTGCTTAAAGCGCCATATGAGATTTTAACGGATTAAACCCAAAATAAGATATTTAAAGATACACTATCTTTAGAAAAGATAGAAAGATCTGGGGGAGTATGGTATGTAGAGGTATGTAGAGACCTAAGACTTGAAGAGAAGAGGGACTACGTGCCCACTCAAGTGACTCAGGAGCAATAAGTTTCTTAATACCTGTTGATGTTGTATGACTAATACAACGCATGTTGTTGGCTCTTCGAAGAAGATGAATAATATAAACAAGGATCTTGTGATACAGGAGCCTGTAGAATCAATTGCCTCTTGGCAATGAAGAGCAATAATAGCCCCATATGAAAGTGACAGTAGCTGAGGCCCCAGAAGGTCTCAAAGAATGAGTAAACCACTTTTTTCAATGACTATGAAGTCTATGTTAGTAAAGAAATTCAAATGGAGGGTGATCCCACCTCATTTGAAGAAGCAATGAGAAGCGTTTACTCGTTTAAATGGCAAGAAGCTATGGAAGTTGAAATGAATTCGAAGAATACCAACGATGTTTGGGATTTAGAAGAAATTCCTAATGGAGCCAAAACAGTAGGCTGTTAATGGGTCTACAAGATAAAATGTGACTTCAAAGGGAATGTAGAAAGATATAAAGCACGACTTGTGGCAATATGCTTTACGCAAAGAGAATGAAAAGATTACAATGAGATTTTTCTCTCCAATCTTATGTAAGAATTCTTTTAGAATCATAATGGTGTTAATGGGAAATTACGATTTAGAGTTACATCAGATGGATGTAAAGATGGCATTCTTCAACGGGGATTTATAAGAAAACGATTACATGGCACAACCCAAAAGGTTTTATCGTGGAAGAAAAGAATGTATGGGATGCTGCCTGTAGAAATTCATTTATGGGTTAAAACAAGTCTCTAGACAGTAGCACTTAAAATTGATGAAATAATAAGAAAGTTTGGGTTTTCAGAAAAATGAGAAGGACAATAGCGCTTATGTGAAGTTCAAGAATGAAAAATTCTTTTTTCACATCCTGTGAATAGATAACATTCTACTCACTAGTAGTGATGTTAATCTGTCATTGAAGAAGAAGAAGTTTTGTCCTCAAGTTTCAATGTGAATGATCTTGGTGAAGCGTCATTGGTTCTAGAAATCAAAATTCACCGAGATAGAAGAAAATGGGGTATTAGAACTATCGCAAAGGCATACTTAGAAAAGACTATAAAGAAGTAAAGTATGCATACGAGTAAACCTACGCCTGCTCCTATAGTCAAGGGTAATAGTTTTGGAAACTTTAAGTGTTCCTAGAACCAATATGAGATCGATCAAATAAACATGGTTCTATATGCTTCAGCTGTTGGAAGCTTGATGAGTGTACAAGTACAAGTAATAACTTACCCTGACGTAGTTTACGTATCCGGAATATTTTAGCAGAATTTCAGTTCAGATATAGATTACTGGAATTGAGTTGAGAATGTCTTACAATTTTGCAAAGTATCATAGGCCTCATGCTGAGTAAGAAAGAATAAGTACTCTCAAGTAGTTGAGGGTACAAAAAGTTAAGACTTGGTGAGATGTGTAGTGAAATCCACAACAGTTACTAACACTCGTAGTTGTAGTATTATTGTGGAAAAGCTCAAAAAAAAAAACAGTTGTGGTGTCATCAATGATGCATACCATAGTATAGCTTGTCATGAGGCTTCAGGAACAGGCAAAATGAGGTTAAGGGAATTTATATCTGGATTTAACAATGGTAGATAACAGCAATAACCATTTAAAGTAAGTTAACTCCTAAGACAACAAGTCAAGTGTGCTGTCAAACATATTGACACTAAGGTATATGTTATAAAGGAGAAAATCCAGAATCATTTTGAAAAGCATTGAGCACATAAGTACCAAGTAAGTACTTGCGGATCCGCTTATCAAAGGCTAACCACCCAGTGTGCTCAGAGAACACACAGTCGACATAGGTTTATGGGAAAGCCTATAATTTCTTGATACTAAGGGCCTAGTTGAGTATCTGTTTCAAAACAGAGAGGTGTGTTGTAGCTGTTTAATCTAATGGCAATAGATCGTGATGATGAGGCACACTCTATGCACTGATCTGTGATGAAATGAGAACAAGATAAAGTAAGTAAGTTATGTTTAAGGAATAAGGTGAGATCAAGGGAGAGAATGTTAGTTTGATCTCCACCAATTGGCCCTGGGCCCTTGGATCTGCGTCCTTATCAGGGGCGCCCAACCACTCCATGGTTGGTGGGCCCCGTCATATCTTTCACCATAAAAGGGGCGTGGGAGCTGAGGCACAAGGTACGAGGTTAACTTTGAGCCGCCGTAACCCGTCTCTGAGAGAAACCCTAACCCGATCTAAATAAAGCGGTGCTTGCCAATGACGGAAGACCCACCGCCTTCGTTGTGCCGCCAATGGAACGTCTCCCTTTCCACCGCACGGCGCCAACTTTACGACACAGCCACCGGTAACCACGTCATCGCAGCGCCATGGCTGAGACTGCGCTCGACATGTGGTACACCAAGCAAGTTTCCCTATCTAAGTTATGCATTTACCTACTTATCTGCACCTAGAGGTTCTAGAAGTTCTATCACATGTTTCTTAAATCAAATACAGACTTGTCAGTTGTCAACTTTGATTTTCCTTGGTTTAAAAAAATTTGATTTTAATTCCTATCCCTAAATCGCAGCTCATATTCTCTCAACCGATGAGAGTGAGCAAGCAATCGATGCGCTGTGCATAACCTATTCACTAGTTAGTCATTATTTCCAGCCTCTACGTTGAATGTGGAACGTTTTCCGATAAAGATTCATATAGCTTGCTCCTCATCTTGGGCTCTTGGCCGTTGGCCCCTATTGAAAATAGAGGTTTGACCTTGATCTCTGGCTGGAGAGCCTTCTTGCATCTGCATATGCGTATATATAATGGGCAGTCCCTAGCTTCATCACGACGCAGCGAAATAGGACTTCTTCACAAGTGCTTCTGCTAACAGGCATCGTCGCATCGCTGTGTAGGTTTTGTCTCTGACAATCCTTAGCTGTATATATGTTTACACTTTATACACCATGATGGAGTAACAATCAAAAGTTGGTTTTCTAAGAAACAACTCATCAGTTGTTTACTGAGACCAGAGTGCTTGTTTTAGTATCGTACGTCCATGCGTGTGTTCCTTCATCTGATCATCTCATTTTCAGATTCTTGTGTTAACATGCTGCCAATGTGATTCCTTTTGTGATTTCCTACTCCTCATCACAGATATTCCTGAAACCAGCCGTCCATCCCACTGGGAGCACCGCAGATGCCGCAAACGGTGTCTGATGGGGGAGAAGACGACCACGGCGCCGACGTTGCTAGCCGGACGTCATCACACCGCCGCATGGAGCACGGGCATGGGTATAAGGTCGGCGTCCCGCCGAAGAAGAACTTCCTCACCGAGTTCTCTGACGCGGTGAAGGAGACGTTCTTCGCTGACGACCCACTGCGGCAGTACAAAGACCAGCCCAAGTCCAAAAAGATCTGGCTCGGCCTGCAGCACATCTTCCCGGTGCTTGACTGGATCAGACACTACTCCCTCGGCAAGTTCAAGGGTGACTTCATCGCCGGGCTCACCATTGCCAGCCTCTGCATACCCCAGGTCAGTTGAGTTATATACCTCGCGTCAGCAGCGGCACGGGTTCATGCACTGACGCTATCTGATACAATCTGTGGCCTAACAAAACCGTGCTTTCAACCACAGGACATCGGTTATTCTAAGCTTGCTAACTTGCCAGCAGAGCTTGGATTATGTAAGTGCACTCATTCACATATGCATCTCTTCGTTTTAATTGAGATCACTTTCAACTATGCTGATCAGAAATGTGGTCGCCATTTTTACAGACACTAGCTTCGTGCCGCCTCTGATATACGCGGTGATGGGCAGCTCCAGGGATATAGCCATCGGTCCAGTGGCCGTGGTGTCGCTGTTGCTCGGTACTCTCCTTCAGAATGAGATTGACCCCAAGACACACCCGCTTGAGTACAGGCGGCTAGCGTTCACTGCGACCTTTTTCGCAGGGGTCACTCAGGCAGCGCTCGGATTCTTCAGGTGAGCGGCCCTAGTGATTGTTAACCTGTCAGTTCGTAGCTGCTTTGGCATGAGCATCTCATCTAGTCTGAAACTCAACTCTGCCACAGGCTAGGGTTTATCATAGAGTTCTTGTCTCATGCTGCCATTGTCGGATTCATGGCCGGTGCTGCCATCACCATTGCTCTTCAGCAGCTGAAAGGATTCCTTGGAATTGCAAACTTCACCAAGAAATCTGATATTGTATCTGTCATGAAATCAGTTTGGGGAAATGTTCACCATGGGGTAAGACACTGTACCATGTGGATCTTTTTACCAGCCTGATGAAAACCACGATAGTTGAGACTTTGAGTGTTTGACGCAATATATGTGTGTGCTATTTATTGCAGTGGAATTGGCAGACAATACTGATAGGAGCATCCTTCCTGGCATTCCTTCTGGTTGCCAAGTACATTGTAAGACAATACATTACATGCTCCAAGATGGCAAGAACTCTTCTTGGTTTTTGTTTTGACTATATGTGATCACACCGTTTCTTTGAATAATTCAGGGAAAAAGGAATAAAAAGCTCTTCTGGGTGTCTGCAATCGCACCTCTCACTTCGGTGATCATATCCACATTTTTTGTGTACATCACTCGTGCAGATAAGCATGGTGTTGCAATTGTAAGTCATACTTGACTGTTCTTGATGTTAGCCATCGGAAAAATATGCAAGTGCATCTTATTAGTTGAAGCTAACAATAAAGATCATCACTGCATAACTGCAGGTCAAGAACATAAGGAAAGGCATCAACCCACCTTCATCTAGTCTCATATACTTCACTGGCCCATACTTGGCAACAGGATTCAAAATTGGGGTAGTAGCTGGAATGATAGGCCTAACGGTGAGACAAACCCTTTGATAAGGAAACAGACTTCTTAAGCTTTGATGTTCAAAATTATGATAACGTGGAAAACTTTTCTATGACAAAAAAATGTGCTAATTAATCAACTGATGCAAACTTATCAGGAAGCAATTGCAATTGGAAGAACATTTGCTGCCCTCAAGGATTACCAGATAGATGGGAATAAAGAAATGGTGGCTCTAGGAACCATGAACATTGTTGGTTCATTGACTTCTTGCTACATAGCCACAGGTAACAATTAATTCAAGAAAAAAAACAATTCATAGCCACAGGTAACAATTATTCTGACAGAAGTCATTCATTGTAGGTTCTTTCTCACGGTCAGCAGTTAATTACATGGCTGGCTGCAAAACAGCAGTGTCAAATGTTGTTATGTCAACCGTCGTAATGCTTACATTGCTGTTGATCACCCCATTGTTCAAGTACACTCCAAATGCCATCCTTTCCTCAATCATCATATCAGCGGTGCTTGGTTTAATTGACTATGAGTCGGCTTACCTTATCTGGAAAGTTGACAAACTGGACTTTCTAGCATGCATGGGAGCATTCTTTGGAGTCATATTTTCATCAGTGGAGTATGGCTTGCTCATTGCGGTGTGAATCACAACTATTTCGTTTATGCTACCAACAATTGAGTTCTTATATAGTAGACAAAGAGCTGATGACTGTAAAACCTTTTGTGAATAGGTTGTGATATCTCTTGCAAAAATTCTTCTCCAAGTAACACGTCCAAGAACAGTTTTACTTGGAAACCTTCCACGAACAACTATATACAGGAATGTAGAACAGTATCCTGATGCTACCAAGGTTCCAGGGGTGCTAATTGTTAGAGTGGACTCAGCTATATACTTCACAAACTCCAACTATGTTAAAGAGAGGTAAAATGCTTGTATTCAACATGAGCTTCTGCCACAGGAATGATTGCTACTATAGGGTTTCATAGTAGCATATTTGGCTTTCTTTTTGTTATTACCATGGATACAGCCTTTTTTGACAAAAAAGAGGTGAACCATGCTATACTTTAATAGTTCAAGCAGAATGTACAAGCATTAAAAAGAAAGCATAAGATGCTAGTGCTTAGAAGAATTTTCACATAAACCTTTTATATATCTATATACTGCAGATTAGGATCTGGCCTGCAGGGCAGATGTAGTTATGTATTTTATAGATCTGTGAATCATACTTTGAAATTTTGATATATAATTTGATGGATGTGATAACTAGCATTCTTTTTATATCTATTCGAATTGACTCATCCATAATTTGGAGGGTAACCTCAATGCAAAGTCTTTTATCTGATCAGCAAAGTCTTTTATCTGATCAGAAAAAGAAAGTCAACAGTTCCTTGAAAGTGCAAGGCTACATCAGATGCTCTTCTAAGATTGGCTACATGTGCAAATACGATATGTGATTAGTATTCTAGTGGCATGAGATTGCATTAGATGCATTATTGAGTCATGTTCAGTATTCTAATAGAGAATGTTACGATTTAAAATCAGCTAAAGAGGAAAGCAGTGATTAATTAGAATCTAATTTTCAGAATCCTGAGGTGGCTAAGAGATGAGGAGGAGCAACAACAGGACCAGAAGTTGCCAAAAACTGAGTTTCTAATTGTTGATCTGTCTCGTAAGTCACAAGAACATATCTGACTATATGCTATCTTTTTACTTAAGTTCCATATAGTGATTGAAAACATTATTCTGACTCTCAACAGCTGTAATTGATATCGACACAAGTGGAATCCACGCTTTGGAGGAGTTGTTGAAGGCTCTTGAAAAATGCAAAATTCAGGTAAGACGCCAGATCTCATAACAAGCATTTACAACTACTAGCAGTCTGGTAGTGATACTGCTAACATAAAAATTCACTGAAGAACCCTCACTAAGATCAAAATCCATTCCTTTTACTTACAGCTGGTTCTTGCCAATCCTGGGCCAGCGGTGATCCAGAAGCTCCGCTCAGCTAAATTCACAGACATGATTGGTGAAGACAAGATCTTCCTCACGGTCGGCGACGCTGTGAAGAAATTTGCTCCCAAGGTGGCGGATAATGTCTGAAGGAGTTTCATAGTCACGTCACGTACAGTATGAGTAAGGAGAAGCCTATCTATTCTTTGGCAAAGTCGAGTGGACACTGGACAGTGCGGATTTATAGAGCAGATGCAGAACAGAACGGGAGTAAATAACATGGTTTGCAGAATGGTAGTAAATAAAGAAGATGCTCCGGAGTTGGAGTGCATCACGCTTGCGAGATGTGGTTGGATAGAATGCAGATGGTGGCCTAGTTGGGCGTCTATGTCAGTCCTTGTGGTTGTGGAGTCTGTTCCGCGTTGGCAAGCACTTGGTGATGGAGATCGGAGGTTTGATGGACCAGAAGATATGGTGCCTGATGATTAACATCTTTGGGATTTCAGGCTTTGTGTCTATATCATCACTGATCGTGAAAGAAGAGCTACCTCTTTGGGATTTCAGGCTTTGTGTCTATATCTTACAGTAATTAGCCCATTTCCTTGTAATTTCAGGTTTTATGATGAGGTTTTACACTTGGCTTATTATATAAATATATTCTGTCATGCTGATGCATTCGTAAGTGTTCCCTGACCAAAAAAAGAAGAAGGGGGGTGCAAAACGTAATTGTGAAGTGTGAGGAATTTGTTGAAGAGGGGCATTATGAGCATGGGCATGCATGTGTAGATGCATCGGGCCCGAGTTAACGGGTAGTGGAGCAGAGAGACACGAGGCTCACCTGACCGACAGGAACCGCCTAGCCTGGCCGAGATGCTGACCGCCAGTCGCCACAGCCGGCTGCCAGTGTACGGCAGGAGGAAGCAGCGCGGTTGCTCGCCCGCCGACGGGAGCCGTACGCCCGCATTCTCGGCTCTCGCGGTCTCGCCTGGCGCCCGGCCGGCGGCCGCCATTGATTCGGCCATGGCGGCCCGACGTATGGGCTGCGGATTGTCGACATAGCCGCGTGGGCCGTGGCCTTTGGGCTCGGTCCAGCCGGAAAACTACGCGAGAGTTTGGGCGCAATCGATGAGCCCATCACTTTGTTCGTCTTCCTCCCAACCGCCGCCGTCGGGTGCCTCGTACGGAATCCCCACCGGCCACACCGCGCGCCTACCACAAAATCCATCACCCTCACCTCGGCCGCTCCGCCTCTCGCGATAGCCACAAGCCCAAAAAATCCATGGAATAGTCGCAGCTACAACCGGATACTGCGCCGATCGCCTCCCGGATTAACAGCGTGAGCTGGAAACTAGCGCGGCAGGTGCGGCGGTGCGTCACCTTTGCTGGCCGCTTCACGCCCTTGCAGCCCGCCTCCTTTGAGTGTCCCTACCGGCACGCGGACCGCGCCTCCGGGTTCCTTCGCTTCGTCTCGTGGAGGCATTCCCACGAATACCTGCGTGGCATGTCCGCCACGCTCCTGCACGCGCCGTCTCGGGCGCCCCATACCTACGCCACCGCAGGACGCACCTGAAAGCCACTTGATCAAGCCCTGCGATAGCAAGGTGAGTAAGGTGCAAACACGCAGAAGGTGAATTCCATGCATGTGCTCAGCCAATGAGAACTAGAGATTGGTGTTTCTGCGTGTACCTCGATGTTGATACATCTGGGCAAGGCTTCGAGTGGCCAGCACTCAACTCTGCCATGGACTGGTGCGATCAGATGCTGAGCGATGGTGTCCGGCCAAAATTTCAGTTATCTACATTCTACAATGCCGGCGGTCAGTGGTCAGTGAATCGTACAAGGATGCGGATATGTTGAGCCAATCATGATTCATGAAGAAGGTTTTCAATTGAGTGACACCCAGCGCATTCATCTATACAGTGACTTGGATTCAGCATCTGCGGTATCCTGTTGAAGCATGGATTAATGGTTAATGGTAGGGGATGGGGTTGTTTATGAGCCCAATAGCAATGTGCTCGGTTCTAATCAATGGATTATGCCGTAAGTGGGAGGTTGAGGCATTGGAAGATTTAATTATACAGATGAAAGGTCACATTGATCTGACAGAAGTGTATCCATATACGGATGTACTGCCAGTCTGTACTCTGTCACAATGGCTGCACTCCGGGATTCCTGGCTTCTGAGCAAATATATGCAGCATGCACTTCTTGTTTGTTCCGATTTGTGTTTCGGGGATGCTCTAGGTTGGTGTTGGACTGTTCCACAGGATGGCAAGAGATGGCCTGCTCATTAATACATTATTACATGCAATGCCTCAGCAAATGATCGAGAACAGTATAGTTGAATCTGCATTTGTTTATGGTATCAAGATGAAATGGGGATATTGGTATGTTTCACTGAACCGTAGGATACAGTATGAGATAATCAAGGACTTTACATTATTGGTGAGGACAGGATTACGGGAAAGAGTCATCGAGCAGCGCCTACGAGGAACGACGCAGATATCCACAAACTAATTTGGTTTCATGCCCAGAAGGTTAATCACAGAAGCAATCTTTTTAATAAGACAAGTTATAGAGCGGTTTAGAGAGCAGAAGAATGACCTCCACATGGTTTTCATTGACTTGGAGAAGACTTATGACAAGATAACAAGAAATGTTATGTGGTGGGCTTTGGACAAACATAAAGTCCCATCAAAGTACGTGACCCTCATCAAGGACATGTACAACAATGTTGTGACTAGTGTTCGAACAAGCGATAGTAACACAGATTACTTCCCGATTAAAATTGGACTTCATCAAGGGTCAGCCTTAAACCCGTATCTCTTTGCCTTGGTAATGGATGAGGTTACCAGGAACATACAAGGGGATATCTCTTGATGTATATTGTTCACCGATGATGTAGTATTAGTGGACGAAAGTCATGCGGGAGTAAATAGAAAACTAGAGTTATGGCGGCAGACCCTTGAGTCTAAAGGTTTTAGATTGAGCAGAACTAAAACCGAATACATGATATGCGACTTTGGCGGAGCTGTACAGGAGGGAGAAGTGAGTTTGGAAGGTCAAGTAGTGCCTAAGAAGGATATCTTTCGGTATCTATGATCGATGCTATAGAGGGATGGAGATATTGATGCGGATGTTAGCTATATATTCAAAGCAGGGTGGATCTAATGGTGACAAGCTTCTGGCATTCTGTGACAAGAGGGTACCACAAAAGCTAAAAGGTAAGTTCTTTAGAACGACGATTAGACCGGCTATGTTGTATGAAGCAAAATGTTGGCCTACAAAGATCCGAGATGTTTAACAACTGAGTGTTGCAGAAATGCGTATGTTGCGATGGATTTACGGTCACACAAGAATGGACCGAGTTCGGAACGATGATATACGTGATCGCCTAGAGGTAGCACCAATTGAAGAAAAGCTTGTCCAATATCAGTTGAGGTGGTTTGGCCATGTACAAAGGAGACCTCCATATGCACCAATGCATTGTAGTCCTAAGCCAAGCTAATAATATGAGGAGAGGTAGAGGAAGACCGAAATTGACATGGGGGAGGTAATAAAAAAATATTTGAAAGCTTGGGATATACCTGGATATATCTAGAAATCTATGTTTGAATATGAGTGCTTGGAAAGCAGCTATTGAAGTGCCTAAACCGTGACTTAAGTCTACCCCAACTTACTTAGGACTGAAAGGCTATATTGTTGTTGTTGGTGGTTGTGAGGACAGGAAGACGCGGTTAATGATTACTAATGTGTTGAAGCAGGACTTTTCAGCCATCCACAGACATAAAACACCCTCAATGAAATTATCAGGCTCAAAGAGGCACTACTAGTGCTCTGCATTCGGAGTATAAAAGGCTCTAAAACTGTAAATCTGATAAGTGGCTATCTTTGAAGCAATGAGCTGACTTGATTTTTCCTTCTCGAATATTCACCATGTTCCATGCTTGATCATCGGTTATATCTAAACAAAGGTACCTAGCTCTGTCTTTAAACTTATTTTCAGATATCGAGAAGGTGTCAAGGTGTTTTGATAAACCATATTGATGATTCCAATCATTGCTTTTCTTAGTTATGTGCTACCGAACTTATTAATAATATGGCATTTTCAGCAATTGTGAATCGGTGAATACTACTCAATCTTTGGTGCTTTGAGATACCAAAGTGAATGAAGGATTATAGTGCCAATTCCTCCTAGGTTGGTTTTGTTTTTATGAATGATTATAGTGCCTCCGTTTTTTGCAGCTAGTTGTGTTATTATGTTCCCTGGTTCTCTTAGAGTAGTTGATAGTCGTTCGGTCCCGAATTGTTTGTATGTAATTGCTTAATTGTAAACTTTGTTTGATCCCTTTGAGACTAGTTTTGCGGGGATCATGTTGGTCTTGGTAAGCCATGGCTTACTAAGTCCATGTGTGTTATAACCCTCTTTTCCTCTTAATATGGAAAATGCACTTAGACACGGCCATGAAAAAAAAGATTATAGCTTACCTAATGGCTGATCTTATACTAAACTAATCTTAGCTTTCTCGAGATATGTAACTGGGTAAACGGAGGCACTTATATCTGTTCACTTTTACTTGCCTTTTAGCATATCATTGTCTTTAATGAACTTCAGTCGTTATATCATTTGCTTTCTTAGGGTCTGTTTGACACAAGGGGCTAACAGTTAACATCTATTTTGTATGCCAAAGAAAACATGTGCTAATTTTTGGCTAATAAGAGTGAAAGTGCATCTAGCCCTTTAGTGGGTTTTGGTTGATTGAATGACAACGTGATTAAAGGACTAACCCGTTTGCTAAGTGTGAACAGGTAATAGGTTATCTCACAGGTACTTAATGAAAGCCAAAATGATGTGTTGTTGTATAAACAATCTAGTTCAAGCACAAGACAACAATGCAAATGGAATTCATGTGAAGGCTTATTTTTTGTGGGATTTCCATGTACTATGTGAAAGCAAGCTCATGATTATTAGTTAATGAGACATGAGGGATTGCATATGGAATGGTCTCATATTTGAAGCTTGCTAAATTAAAATGAAAAAAAATAACAATACATATGAATGGATGATTCAACACAAGATGTGACTTGATGGCTTGAGATGGTGAAGATAGCAAGGAAAGGCTTCGAGGTACTAAGCAAGGGTGAAGGGCA